TTCAAAAATAGATAATAAAAAGGAAATATGTTGAAAATGTCAGTTAAATTACCTCACTCTGAGCCTAATTACTTCACTCTGTAGCCTCGATTGTCATTGCTACCGTTGTTACGATAATAAACAGTCTCGATTATTGTCTTTTACAGTAAAATGGATAACATTTAAATCTACTTAATGGCATCGAGAGTTAATTATGGTCTTGCTATGTTAATTAATATCTAATTAACATATAACATTTTTAGGCCTAAAGAAAGACATGCAATAGACAGATTTAGTTCTTATATAGTTACTGTTTTAATAATTCAACCTTATTTATTAGAAATAAACTGATATTTATGATGGTTTGAAATCTTTATAATAACATCTCTCTGGGGAATAATGAATATAGATATTAACGGGAGATGTGTAAATCCTTTATAACACCGATATTGGACATTTAAGAATGGAAATAAAATATAAATATATCTTTATAAGTCGTCAGAATCCGCAAAGCTAGCTTAAAGATCTCTTTAATGTGCCTTTATATCTGAATTAAAATCTAAATACCAATATGCACCTTGAAATATGTTTTTTTATGTTTTTTAATAAACCCAAATTTTTTATATGACGTTGTTTTATATGCTTAGTCATAATAGCGTTAACTGAAGAAATACAATTAACATTATCTGTAATTTAGATAAAAAAATATAAAAGCTCTTTGTAATGTAACTTAAATTATTATATTTAAAATAAACTAATATGAATACCATGATGAAGGCCCTTATAATAAAAATTATTCACAATGAAACTATTGTGTTATCGATATTAATATATAAAGGTGAATACATGTGTATACAGTGTAATCAATAAGTTTAATGATAGGCTGACAGAATAAAAATCTAATTTAAAGTGGGGTAATTTCACCGTATATTTATAACGGGATTGTTCAAATTAAATTTCAGACAAGCCTGCTAAGCTGTCATTGAGATATTGGCTATTTATCTTCATACTTACAAGTTGGACAAGTTATATTAATGGTTTTCGAGGATTTTAAACGAACAATCGCCTTACCCGATACCCAAAGCGGGCCAGTGCTTGTATTTACGAAAATTCGGTAAGTTTAAGGTTATTGTGAATGTATTATATTAATGTACCTGGTGAACGTCACACTACCGTTTAAATATCAATATAAACATAATATATGAAATATGTAGAGACTCACCGATGTGGAACCTTTTGGTTTTTAAGACGATTGGTTTCATCTTTTAGGTATATTAAAATGATTGAATAACTACCATAATATTTCGGAAATAGGCTTTAAAAAGCAGCGTTTGGTGTACAGTCGTAAATATAATTTTAACGTTATTTAATTCTGACGTCTGGCCAGGTAGATTTTCCCCGTGATTAGTTTATCCTAAGTGTGGATCGATTTGTATACATGACAAAGTAATGTTATTAATTCTGTCTGGAGAACCTAACATTGATTTAAAGAGGGGTGTATGTTTTTAGACTAATTTTGTTACATTTTGTTAATACTTGATCGGCTTAGCATTTATCATTTGAAGACACAAGGAAATGAAATGAAATGGCGTTTAACGTCCTACTATTCTGCCCCGACTGGGCTAATGAAGACGGGCATACGCCATGCGCTACGGCCTATGTGTACGCCAACGTGTACACGGGATATTGGTTTTTCGTCCCATCCGAACGACTAGACAGCTGTCCTTGCCAGCCCCCCCCCCCCGTCCTGCACCAATGACAAGGGGAAACCACGCCGGAAAATCCTAGTGAACTTTCTCCGCCACCAACGGGAGCGAATCCGCGGGCTCTAGGCCAGCGAGTCAGCTTTTTACTCACTTAGCCACCATGACTCCCCGAAGACACAAGGAAAATCATGACAATGTTCATAATAATAATACCAGGTATTATATAAATTGAAGATAATGTATCTGGTACTCTCACATGGACGGTATAAACGATATATATATTAAAGTTTCAACAAAGACCCCATTTTTGTTGGAAATTTTCCGTTTTGTTATTTTGCTGATAAAAGTATTTTCAACTTTGTATATATTCTGTAAATGATGGTTTTGGATCATTTTTTGTACGTCTATATTTTTGATTAAAATGGTTTGGTTCTTCATTATGTGTGCATTAAGCTTTGCTAGTAAAACATCAGCTTTAGATTAGTCCATGTCTTGCAATATTTGTAAATATATTTTTTTTAAAAATGAATCCACAATTTTTATGAAACAGAACATGCGTAAAAACAGTGTTTCTCGCACTTGCTCCTAATTTATACGTTTTTGTGTTTAGGATTCGTTTATTAATTCGGGATTGAAATTCTCTCAGGACCGACACCCATTTTCTATTTGATTTTCTATTATTTTTTTTTATTCAAATAGCATTTGGAATACTGAGCAATCCTATTGATCCTATAAATTTTGTTTTCGATAGTTGCTCTATATTATTATACATGGTTTTGGTATTGCTGACATATACCTAACTATAGTAATCCACAAATGTATCCTTAATTTTGCAAATTTCTTCCAGTTATTGGTATATACAAAAACTTCATTCTGGGTATTTCAATTCTGAAGCTAAACATAACCCATCATTATGTCAATTTTGAATCCTGCCAATGTTAAAATTATACTAATTGCAGTATTTTTCTAAATAAATAATCATGTTAAAAAATCATAGTACGCCAAACTGACGCCTTCCAGAGATCGTTTTCGGTTAATTCTGTTATAGGGTTAGGGTTAACTTTAAGAATATCCCGGATGCTCCCAGGGCATCGATTCGGGAATAGCGTTCAAGGGGTATTTTGGATCAACAAGCGCCTTTTCCTGCTCAGTTTGAGATATTTATGGGAAGGTTTTAAGAAAGTTTGTCACTTTTTGACCACCTATACCAGATGGTTAAAAAATTTGATCTGTTTTGATTTTATCGTTCCTCTTCCCTTATTTACCTATCAAATTCTTTAAAATATTTGAAATTCAGGTTGAGTCTATCTTTATTTTATTTTACATTTTATTTATATTTTGTGTAGGGATAGGGGTGGGGTGTCAGGAACTATACACCAAGCACTACTCATTTTTTTGTTCTTCTTGGCGGAGGCTCTCTTTGAGAATGGCCTAAGGCACCACCACTTCCCGTTGATATGACGTCACAATTCCAAGACGGCGGTGATGACCCCATGCTCCGTTCCTGGTTCATAGTTCGCCCTTTGTTCTTTCAATAGAGATATTTGAATTTCTGGATGTAGTATTGAGCTTTTAGGTATCTTCTCTTTTCACATCGTAGAAAAATTAATATAGATATGAATCTGTGATTTAAACACAATATAATATATGTTCATTTTCGGTCTATCCGATATTTTGACTTTCATACAGTAAGGGGTTCCTTTGTTTCAGTCTTGTAGACTACCATCGGTTGATTATTTCTATCAGTAGAATAATATTTTGTTATTAAAATAACATGGTTCCAAAATATGGATGCATTTGGGTTTCCTGTAAAAACATTAGCTTTAGAGTAGTACCTGACTATTGGGATGGGATTAGCCTTTTCTACTGAACATGATTTTTTCATCTGTAACTTTTACCTGTTAAATATTGCTGTAAAGGGACAGTAATTGAAACACATCTTTAGGCGAGCCTGACAAATGTTAATGCCGTTATTAATTCGAAATTGTTCAGTATAGCATTCTGGGAAACACGATTCATACACATTACGCCTCATTTACCGTTTGATCAGTCAATCGTTCACCGAGTAGCAACACTGCAACAGTTCGGACAACTTTCTTTTTATCATTAATTGGCATAGATTGGTTTTGCCTTGTAAATTTGTCCGAGAATAGATTAATTGAGAAATACCTGATCATTCACCGATATACTTCAATTGTTTTTCGTGACAGAAAGAGGTCACAAATGAAACTGTTAACAATTCCCTAATAGTTAACTGATAATGTGAATCGTGACAAATTATATATCATTGTTAGGGAAACATGGTGCTCATAGTTGGAATGTATTGGTCGTTAATCATGTAACAGGAACCAATCGTTACCTAGCGGTAATTGATTTTACTTGGCACAAAAATCCAAGTTAAGGGATCGGTGTTGTAATACTTCAGATTAATGTCACACAGGTTTAAATTAAAAATACGGGTATTTTTCTGGGCTAAGAGAATAACTTGTGTTTGTGTGGCCTTTTACAACGTTGAGTTATTTAGATGACAGGGGCGGTGTTATATTAGCTAAGGGAATTGATTTCAACCGGTTTAATAGCATCCACGGTTTTGGCCAGCTCTTTTAAACTAACAGATGAATAATTTATTGACGACCGGGATATGTGCCAGAGAACTGATTTCGAATAGGATTTATCAGTAATTGTTAGCTTATTGTTGATTTGTTCTAGAATCTCTCTTGACGACCGGGATATGTGCCAGAGAACTGATTTCGAGAAGAATTTATTATTAACTGTTAGCTTATTGTTGATTTGTTAAAATCTCTCTGAATCTTCTAAGTAACTGTAAGTTTTTCATTATTTAAAGATACATTATGGGAGATTAGATACAGTGCTGGCAGTTCTCACTATAATAGTTAAAAACTAGATAATGTAAACGGAATTTGCTGAAAATTTCAGTCAAATTGATCCACTCTGAACCGAGAATTTAGCGATTGAATTTTCGTCCTAGTCTCGATCATCATTACTAAAGTCGGTACAATATAATGCATAGTCTCGATTATCCAATTCTTGATTTAATCATGAATGAGCATAAAGCAGCAGATCGGGTCCTAATCCAGTAAATACCGCAGGCTAGCGATGACATCGAGAGTCGATTATGGTCTGGATAAGTTAATTAATGTCTAATTAATAATTTAGATAACTCTTTAGGCCTAAAGAAAGACCTGAAATAGGCAGATTTAGCTCTTGCATAATGTATGTTTAATAACAGTATCCTCAGCTGCTACAAATGTATATACTTATTTAGAACATTTAAAAATGTATTTATCGTTTCAGGTGAATAATGGAATCATCGCGACCTTTGAATAACGTCTTGGCGTTGATTGAATAAGACAGGGTCATGCCCCCTGTCCGTTTTCCGGTACCATGCACAACATTTGCTCCATATAACAGCACAATCAACGAAAGTCAAGCATTAGAGTTGGCGAAAGATGATCGCAATGCCCTACTATACATCGTCGTCACGCTTTTGTTTTATTCCATGGGAATCATCATTGGGATTATCACATATTTAAAACGTGAACGGCGTGAGATGCTGGAAGATAAAACATTTGACCTCTATTTTCAAATGAAAAGTGACCCGTATACTACCTTTAAAGCAGAACGAGTGCAAATGGTCGCAGCGCGATTAGCGCAGTTAGAAAAAGATAAGTTGGAAAAAGAGATTCTCATGAGTTCAGAAGCAGGGTGCAGTAACGGAATTCAAAATCAAACATCTCTGGAGGTTAACCAATCAGAATCGTCAGATTGTGAATCTATTCCTACTGTAGCAAGCAAATCAAGCCCAACCATGTCTTCTTCCTCGGGTAACAACACAAGACCAACAGATATAGACATTACCAAACAGACCATTTCAGAAAATGAGATTAATGTTTCAGGGGATGAAATAAAATCAAAAATAGAGTCAGTGAGTGATGCCGAACCTGCTGAACCTGCTAGTGATCCTGCGGGTTCTGGTGGTGGTGCTGCTGCTATTGCAATCAAGACTGAAATTCCTCTAAAACCAGGACTTGGTCCCACCGATAATCAACGACGTACTGTCTTTCAAGTTTCTCCTTCAGGGGAGCCGATTTCTTCTGTGGTAGCTAAAATATTCGACTCGGAGAGACGAGGTGGATTGATGATGTCCCCTAAAGCTCTACATCTGTTCGATCGGGGCAAAAAACGGTTAGTGGGACGCCAACTTTCTCTAGACGTTCCAGATAGAAGGGTAACTCCGAGATTAAAAACCCGTCAACTTTCCATGGATATTCCTGATACGGAAATGGTGCCAAATTTATTTAGCGAAGTAGAAAAAGATAGACTATTGTCTGAGATTCAGAGAGACGAAATTCCAGAAGAAACTTCAGAGGATTCTCTTGTTTCTAGAGTTTAAGGGAATTGTAGGAGATGAGTGCAAAATAATGGAAATAGTAGTGATTCTTTTTGGATTAAAAGTTTGTGATTCTCATATACTAGTGATGCGTTTGGCTGATAACTTTTCATATGTTATTTGTTATGCAGGGTATCGTTAATTGTGATAACAGATCTCAGGCTGTGCTTTGGAAAGTTTAGTCCATAAGGCGGTTTCGACAGCTTCGAGTAAGGCTAATACCAAAATCATTTCTTGTTCGTATCCTGTTTTCCAGCTCAAATATTACTGGGTTATTCCAAAATTGGTAAGACTTTTCCTGAAGGGTAGATTGTTTAATGGATAAGAAATACCGGCAGTGGTTGATTTAATCAAATTCACTCAACGATTGTATATAGACGTACACAACTGTTTTTTATTTTTACCGCACAAAATTTTAACAATCTTCATTAAACACTTCACCGTTTCTAACAAACATTTTTTTAAACATTGCAACAGGCTTATTATAATTTATTAATGTTTGTCCTAGATACCTGACGTGTCATTGACATCTTGTTCACATGAAATGGGGTGTCGAATATCACGTGCAGTTATGTTGGGGGGTGTTTAAAATAAAATAAATTTTCTGTAATACGTGTTATTCCAGGAGCATTATGTTCTTTGCAGTAAAACTGTACTTTGTTTGAAGTGGGTTTTCTCGTAGGTTAATTCGCAAGGAGCATAGTGTATGTTGTAGTCATACGCCATTTTGTTATAAGTTTGGTATTTGTTTAAGTGGTAGCACATTTCATTGTGTTATATATGCGACAATGCTTTAATTGGGAGCGTAAAACATATTCCACAAGATCGTATACGTAGTGATACGTGATTTAAACATTGCAGTGATAAGTCATTACTGTGGAGCTGTGGGGTGATGATGTTTATCGCAGTGGTAAGTCATTACTGTAGAGCCGTGGGGTGATGATGACCGTGTATTGCTGTAATACGTCATTACTGTAGTGGTGTCAGGACGTATATTGCAGTGATTGAAATGAAGAATAGTGAGGTGGGAACGTGCATTGCAGTGATATTGCATTATTGTACAGCAGTGATGTTGGGCGTGCATTGCAGTGATAAGCCATTGCTGGGGCGTATATTGCATTGATAGACGATTTCTGTAGAGTAGTAAGGTGGAAGCATATATCGCAGTGATTAGTCATTACTGTATAGTTTTGAAGAGAAAACACGGTTTGCATTGATTCATATGATTCATCTCGATAGTATTGTACTATATCTCTACAGTAAACTTTTAGCAGTATGTCATCATTTTGATATGTTCATGGTAGAGTATAATTGTCTCCCAATCGGAACTATGTTGCGAAGTAACATTTGAAGTGATTAAATAAACAATGAAAAGCTGATATATTATATTGTACATAAGTGACGAGACGTTATAGATTCGGTTGTCTTGATAAGTATTACCATTGTTGACTTACAGTATTTTAAATCACACGGTCATGCGCAGTAGAGTGCATTCCGTGGTTATGTTTAATATCTACCATGGTGGGTTTAATAGTTTCACTCTTTGATATTTATTTGGTGTGTTTATAATTTTACTGCATACCTGTTACATTGAATATCAGTTTTATATTCGTATATTGTATACACATTCCAACTGACCAAATTATGGTCATCACTCAGCCACTTTACCCTAAAATTTAATACATTATGTCAACCACTCTTTGATAATATATAAAATTCAGGAGATCGAAGGTTCAAAGTACCATACATTAAAAAGTTTAGGATAAACTATTAAACCTTATATTGCAGGGTTAGGGGTGGGGGTTAGCAGGCACTCCAATCTGATGAAAATACAGATCTATATTTCGTTTCATTTTTAGTTCCGTGCATGGCACGCCAAGAAGTCGCCGTAACAGATTTTTTCATTGGCTTATCCGTCATTTCAACCAAAATGCTTGTAATATAACAACTCTTCCACATCCTAGCGTAGTAAAGACAAGTAAAACAAAATTTTGAACTATAAAAAAACGAAACAAAATAGGATCTGTTGTAAATAGACAAAATTCCCTTTAATTTTCTTTCTCCCTATTTCCAGCATTTTTTGGTTGATTGTTTGGCCTAGATTTGAAGAAAAGGGATGAAATGTGCTCTTTCATGGCAGTTTGACGTGGATAGGGGGTGTAAAGTGTTTTAGTGCAGAGCAATCATTGGGTCGGCAGTGACACTTTGACCCCAGTCAACACCAAAGCCTCCTCGCCAAAAACATAAACGGTTAACCCCCTACACAAATTTGATTAGAAGACTGCAAAATACGGTCCCATAGGTGTCGCTAAAGTTTGGACCCAACGGAATGTCGAGCTAAACGCTACAACCTGTGATCTTACAGTTGCCAATTAACAAATTAAATTACTAGTCTGAGACCATACCATAGAAAAAGGCAGACTTTGTCCCCTTCCGGTTAGAGCAAGATTGATGAATATGGCGTTTTAACGATTGTTAGCGTGAATAATGGACCCATCAATACCTAAAAGACGATGTTTAGAATATATGGATACGGTTTCAAACAATCAACGTTGGGAATTTAGTCAATGCTAAAAATTGACAGAAGTGGCATTTTCTAATTACCTAGACGAAAGAAAGAAAGATTGTCAGCTTTGTAACATATTTTTAAGATGTCACAATGAGATAACTAACCGAGACCCTATCGACTAGAAATTGCATGATGTAATACTTTTTTTTATATTATCACATTCCTAGACTCACAGCTACCTAATTAGACTACGGTATTTTACGCAACCCACTGAACTATTTGCTAATCAATATCGTCTCAGGGGTAACTTATTCAATTAAAATTCAATAATTAATACATGCACCCTTTCATATGAAGTTAAAACCTTCATGGGCAAATTTTCACTTTTTCTGATTGATGCAGAAGTGCAACTATTTCCGTTGAATGTGTTTCACATCAAGGAAATACTCCAATCCGCGTATTTTGCAGGAAATTTTAGAAAGGCCCGCTAAGGCGGAATCATTGAGTCATCTCTATTCTATAGACGGAAGCGGGAACGACTCGTAATGTATTGTTAATGTCTGTATGTCTGCCTCGGATGGATTTACAATTTTACACATTTTTTTTTCAGACAATGTAAATATTAAAATGTACTGCAAAGGGGCATGGCGGTGGGGGTGGGGGAGGGGGGCTTTGCCACTGACTCGGAAAGTGTGTCTAGGTGGACGTCGGTTTTCCTCCCATCCCAACGACTAGACGTTTTTGTTCTTGGCGCCTTTGCGGCTGACTCGGAAAGTGTGTCTGGGATGACGTCGGATTTCGTTCCATCCGAATGACAAGACAATATTTTTCTGGTCTGGCCCCCAATACTGTATCACTAACAAGGAGAAATAAAACTGTTAATATCTCGAGAAACAATCTCAGCCAACGCCAGGAATCGAACCACCAAAGTGCACGGTTAATTGAACGATGAACCGGATTTTAGTCTAAAACTCAAGTAGTGAGTCCCGGCACCCCTACCCGTGCTAACATCATTTCCTTTGTTGAAAATACAATATCTGCAATTAATAATTAATATGTAAGTTTCAAAAGTGTCAATTTTCAGGCGTTCTTTAATAAATTTATGAAGCGAAGCCTACATATTTGTTTAATATATCCGCTATAAACACAATAATAATTGCCCGTAGGTCGGTCGTATTTAATAGAAATAATGAAACATTATATTTCTGCTTGGAAAGGTTATTTGAAAATCAATTATTTGTAAATCTATGGAATAAAACTTGAGCGTTTATAATCAGCGATATAATAACTAAGTTTTTAATCATCAAACACAAGGATTAAAAGTCGATATTTTCATTTTACAATAAAAGCATGTTAGCGTTAAGCCAATTTAACGTGACAATGTAAAAATGCCACAAACTAGGCATTATATTTATTATATTAAATCATGTTTAAAGCGAACAGATGGAGCACAAAAAACGAAAGTAGGATACAATAATTTTTTGTCAGATTTATTTCCAAAGTTCACATATTTTTTAATAATTTTAATTTATATTTAAAGTAGCTTGTTCTCTTACTCATTATTATCCATAATCATTATCCAAAATCATTGGCGGGTTGGATGGCCGAATGGTTATCACGTACGTGCACTGTATCATACGGTCTGTAATCGAGTCAACTGGCGGGGTTTCGATTCCCCGGTTGTACGTGACAAGGAGTAGGTTTGCCTGTCCAATCTCGTGGGTTTTCTCCGGGACCCCGGTTTCCTCCCACTGCTAAAGACCCCTACGTGCAAGCAAATTATTGAAATAAAATTGAACCATGTGTTAGTCCCGAAATGACCTAGTTGGTGTCGAGTGGACGTTAAACCCCATTTCCCCCTCTGTCTCTCCATAACCATTATCATTATTAGCCAAACACGAATTAGAATTTAATATTGGTCAATTTCAGTCAATATTGATATCCACTAATTTAATGCATGGTTAACGGTTTAATATTAGTGTGCCGCTGTGTTTTCTCTATGGTCTCGGGCGCCATTTGTAATTAGGTACCTTGATGATCGACTCAAAACGTGATAAAATGTAAAACCTCCCGATATAGACTGCACTAACCAGCTGCTTGCCACTGCTTTCATCTTGGACTGGTCGTATATTTTGCCGAACTTTACTGATTGGAAATTACAATAAAAAAATTGAAAGTAAAGCAGTTTATATACTTTCATATTACATTAATAAGTGCTTTTCGGCTCATTGTTGTCCATTTTAGGTTGCACGCGCCCAAGATAACCCTCAATGACTCCCCACGTGGTTGTAACACAAAACGATATCTTCTCACAATAGAAATATCATTTACCATTTAAGAAATCATATAATTACGATGCTGACGAGACCTTAAGTTCCATTTTATTCCCTTTCTGATATTCCCCTCTCGTAGATATATATTACAAGAAGTAACGCAACGCCATGAATGTTACTGGTGTCAATATACAACCACACTAGATTTAAAAATAACCGGATTATGGAATTGTCTTTCATATCGTCAGTTTAGCTGCAGAAAAGATCAAATACTTCTCGTTATATTTTCATATGTTATCATTGCTTGATAATGACTAGAGAAGCCTAGTTGAAACGTAGCTCAGTAATAAGCAGTAATTGTATTCTATAGAATTGTGAACTGTATACTCCAGTTCAATTACTAAATGTCATTGAAACAATTTAACAAATACTTCTTGTGCATACTTATGTCTTTCACATAGTAATTATAAAAATGGGAAGATAAATTTTGTCAGATTTTATAAGAGGATTACAATAGTAATCTTTAAATGGCATTTACATATTTACTTTCTAATCTATTAACTTTATTGATAGGATAACAATAAATAGTGCAACACTGACTGCCTATACAAAAACACAATCTGAAATGTCAAAAGTGAGTGACAAAGCTCTTTTAAAAGTTTTAAATATTTTCAATGAAATTTTTTGTATGAATAGCCTAATCTTTTCCATCAAATTAGAGAAATGTCAGAAAAGAAAAATATCATGTCAGAAAAAAAAACTTTCATTAAATTCAAAGAATACTTTAATGCAGAAATTATGATGAAACACGTGAGGTGGTCTCGACACGGTACTAGGAACGGCACGGTTGAATTTTTGTAGCGTAAACTCTATCCGGTCTGAGAACGGTATTCAGTACGGATTACTGTGCATGCGCCAAATGAACCTTTCCCTATTTCCCCGCGAACTTT